GCCGGTTGGTCGATACCGAAACTCATCAAGTTTATCAAAAGACATAACTTGTTTGAGGCGACCTTTGACGGGTGTGACTTTGGGTTGGTTGCTTCCGAAGGATTGCCACATCGCAAACCGTGGAGAGCGGTGACTTCTTCTTGGAGGCTTGCCAAGAACCTACATGCGCGCAAGTGCAAACATCCACATGGTTTTGTTCATAGCCAAGTTGCTGGTAACAAAACAGCACTAACGGCATACTACCCAGAAGCCATAGTCAGGTGCGTCGCCACAAGCTTGTGTCCGTCCGTGATTGACAAGGACGTTCCTGCAATGCCCACTTCTGCTTTCAAGCAGCATGTGATCGACCCGAGCCTGAACTCGAGAGCGCAGTGTTTGCAGGCGCGCATCACTTGATAGATAGTCAAGATTGGCATAAGCATGCGGGTTATCAAGCAGCCATTGACAAAGAGGCAAACGCGGTTTAATAGCAAACCAAACTTGGTCATACGATGAGGCGGTCCCAAGGGATGTCTTGCTTGCCAGAAAGGAACCTCTAAACATTGGCAGACTCAGGCAGGCTCATGACCATTCTTCTTTCAATCAAGCGCTTTGAAACCCGAAACTTAGACTGCTGAAAGCCAGAATTGTTTTTTCGAGGTGATGACGTTCGGGAGGAGTCTAACAACCTAGCGGTCCTACAGGATCTCAGGGTTAGCCCCACAGGATTGACTTGGAACTAACGTGCAAGGAGTTCCAACATATAAAACGGCCTTGTGTCAGGCTACGCCGTAGCCTATATGGGCACCCACAAGCCGGTTTCGACTGGGATGCTAAATTCAAGAAAGTGATGGCATCACGAGGAGCACAACATCTTGACAATATCTTTCAATCTTCGTATTGGTGCCTTGTAATGACCTTGTATGTCGACGACATGGTTTTGTCAGGCCCTCGCCAGGTGGAGCGTCTCTGGACCAAAATTGAGGAACACCTTGAAATAGATCCGCCAACCGCAGCGGATCGCATTCTCGGTCGTAAGCATGTCTATGGTCACTCTGAGGGAATAACCACCATCTTTATGATATGGTAGCTTTCTGTCGATCGTCTTGCAATCTATATGTGGAGCTATCAAAGAGAACCCTCACAGAAGCTTCCACTCCTTTTGCGCCAGACGGTGCAAGTGTGAGCGCAGATTGGGACGAGAAGGGTGCTCTAAGTACATGCGCCAGTCGGGTGCTCATGAAAATCTTGTGGTGCGCCAGGTTGGCCAGGCCGGATCTGATCAAACCAATCAACGACCTCCACATCTCTCATTGAAGAGTTGGATAGGTGACCCTTTCGAGTCGCTAAGTCTAAGATGATGCGGATGCGTCAGAGACTGAGCATTCCAAGTCGACGAGCGGGATGGTTCTGGTCCTGCAAGGGACAAACTCATTCTTCCCGTTGACATGGGCAAGCCGCAGACAAACTGCATCGTCACGATCCACAACTGAAGCAGACATCATCTCTTTGGATGCCGGCATATTCGGTGAAGCGTTGCCTGTTCAGGAGTTGCGCGAAATACTTGCTAATAAGCCGATGGACCTGATTTGTCACCAAGACAATTCAGCGGTCATAGCAATCGCCCACTCAGGGTATTCGCCGAAGCTCAGGCACTTGTCGAAAACTCACAAGATAGACCTAGGTTCCTTGTATGAAGTTTTGCAGGTGAGGTACATAGCTACTGATAAGCAACTAGCTGACATCTTCACCAAGGCCCTTGCAGCAGCGAAATGGCCGGCTGCCTTGAACTTGCTGCGTATGCAACACCTTCCTTCCCAGCACGCAGGAAGGGGGAGTTGAAGAATACTGAGCATTATGCATGCTTGACAGGGTGCGATGCCAATGATGCACCATCACTTGCAAGACATGTTTTCATGTGGCATGCCTAGCTGAGAAGGGGCTCTTTGAGTGTAGTTTGCTAGGAGGAATCGTCACGTGTAGGGTAGACGGTGTCTGTCCACCGTTTCACAGATTCAGGAACCCATGGTTAAGCAAAGCTTCCACTCATGAGGTTCATTCCTTTTGCAACCATGACAGTTTGCAGTTGTCATGTGTTTCAGTTCTCCAAAGGTACCAATCCTCCAAACGAATCCGCGTTTGGCTCAAGCTGCCCGAGGGTTCAAAGGAGCGCGTCAGCCATTTACTTGACGACGCGCGGTATTCTTTACCTTGTGGTGGCGACATTACTTGGATCAGGTTTGGGAGTGCTTGAATCAAACACAACGAGCTGTTCTCATCTTCTGACAACTCATTTTTGGATCACGGTCTCCACCATGCGGTTGCCCAGTGAGTTTCCTTGCGGGGTGATGTTTGTTTTGTTGGGGGAGGGAGCCCTGGCTTCATGAGCGTTGGTGTTTCGCATGTCCCTTGGCCTTGGGTCGGGCGGCCACTGCTTTGGGGCCACGAGGTGGTCAAACGCGTCAGCCGTGATTTCAACCTTTGGAGGTGAGATTGAGATGTCGTTCCACCCTAGTGTTCAACTATGTTTGTGTTTTTTTGACGCTCAAGTTACTCTGTTCAGGTAGGTTCTCTCTCAATTCCAACTTGACTCCCCGAATTTTCGACAGCTGGCCAGTCTTTCCTTCAGGATGGATGTCACATCAGATGTTTCTCTCCGACGAGTAGAAGTACAGGCCCAGGAGCCGCAGCCAAGTTCTGAGCAAGAAGTAAGGGCTGCATAGTTTCTGGGCAAAGGTCACAAGAGCTCAACGATGGTAGCGACGCGTAAGGGCCCCTCGGAAATCTACCGGCGATTCGATTGTGATTTGCCCAGATAGCTCAGTGCCTTACACTGCCGGGTCTTCTCTCTTGAAGTTGCGGCATAATTAAACCCCACCGCGATCTGTCGCATTGCGCAAGGATTGCCAGAGGAGATAAGCACACTGGCAGTTGCCGACCTGGGCAAGAGTAGTGCGATCTTTCAGAGTGGACACGTCATGTTCGTAAGTATGATATCAATCATCGTTGCTCTCAGGTTCTTGGGGGATTCGGATGATGTGTGTTTGACAAGATTGGGCCTTGGCGACAGCTGTCCACTTTGCTCATCGGGTGTCGCTCTTTTTAATGCCACTGCAGAACGCGTGGCACGACATTTTTAAGAACAATCATGAAGAAACCGATGTCAAAGTGCCCTATGTCGCCTTGACTCCGGCACTCGAACGAAACGCTTTGCTTTGTGACAGATCAAGGTGGGACCCAGATTCAGGCCAAACTGTACTCAGATGCCCTTCGCCCCACTAATAAATCCCCCCCCCGATTAATAAGTACTAGCTGGGGGCTAAACAATGTTTATTGATAGGGGTCAGATGGGCTCTCCCGGAAAGCCAACCTACTCATCCCTTGAGGGCCCAAATTGTAACTTTGTAAATTGGGTGTAGTACAAGCTTTGAAGGGATATTTTTGTTGTTTTGTTTCACAGGTTAGCAGAGGGAAAAAAAGACAGACATTGGCTGTAGTACAAACTTGAAAGGGAAAGAGGGCCCTTGGTTTTTCAGTTGGCTACTATGGGGAGCGTGGGTGGAGTGCCGCCTAGCGACAATTTAGTGTTGGTTTAGAATTTGTTCTACAAAAATGTATTGGGGACCCGACGGCCTCGGAAAAACGCTATTTATGAAAACATTTAGTAGTAAGGGGAAGGGATTGTAGATGTTCGCGTATGTCATAATTTTAGGGCGCCTCCAAAAATTGATGGTTTCCTTTGGTTTAGCCGCTTAGCCTAACCAACCAAGTGGGGTATCCTCAAAACAAGACACCCATTTGCCAGGCTGGACATGTGTTCGTTTTTTTTTGATTTGGGTGGGTGGGGCATGTTATTTTCCCCCCGGGCAACCATTGGGGAGTTGGCATATGCATGTCGATGTGGGGACGAGAGACATCCTGCATACCTCCAGATGGATGATTGGTTTGTTTCACAGGGAAGTGGCCTGATTCTGAGAACCCATGAATTCATGATCGGCTAAGCGTGGAACAGCTCAAATGCGGCAGGGTGTGCGGCAGGGTGTGCGTTTTCATGATGCCTGAGTTCCAGTGTCACACGCCTGATGAGCAATGTGTGCTTCCAGAGCACACAATTAGTAGTTTGCAAGTGGCCTGACGATCGGGGCATTTTGCGACGTTTCGCCATGAACGCACCACACGTTGCCAGCTGTTCCTCAAAGCCTTTTTTTTCCCGAGCGGCTGCTTTGCTCATGAGAACATGTGAAAGCGGAAGGCTGGGCACTGGGGTCTCAGGAAATATGTGTGATTGTAAGGTTGACTAAAAAATGGGACACCAGTCCTGGCCACACCAATTTTTCGCAACCACTTTTTTGAGAGGCGATGGCGAATCCGGTCTCACTTCCGCAGGTGGACTACAAATCCATTTCAGCATGGTTTATGGCCACTCCACTCGTTCGGAAGTGCGGGATTGGGCTCAAAAGAGAAGTTCTTTTTGAGGCTCCGATACAGCTGAGTGATCACGGCAATACCCACTTGGCAGCAACCCATACTGTGCTCAGCACAAGATCTGACTCACTTGCGATGCCTCGCACGTGCGGAGTCTATAATTACGCCTCTAGAGTTTTCAGCTCGACGAACCATGTAGCGGTATCATTTGCAAGCGCCCCTGGTGCTAGGCATTCAGCCTGTCGAGGCCCGCGTGGTGGTTTTTGTCTTAGCAAAACGGTCAGGGACAATGGTGAGCGAACTGCAATTTGGAACTCCCTTCGACGACAAGCACCACGGCCTCCCATTGCACTTGGCCTCTCGCGGCCGGACGCGGCGTCTCCCTTGGAGTTAGCCAGCGGTCCCCAGCGCGGGCAAAAAGGTGCGTGCTTTGCCAGGTGTCACACTGCCTGAGAGCCCAACAATCTTCTTAAAGACAAGAATGTAGGTTCTAGCCCACTTGGTCTCATTTGCGTTCAGCCGAAAAAGCGACCATTGTGGCCACGGAACCAAAGTCAGCCCGGGTTTGAGGCGCTGATCTGACTTGGGCTCGTCAGGATTTGGTCGCGAATGCCAAGAGCATGATCTTTGCGGTGGTTCCCCAAGGCCCACAGGCTGGCTCGATCTCGCATCAAGAAATCAGAAAATGGTCGATGTCGTGATGGTTTCAGGACAGATCGATTCGACCCCGTACCCCAGAAAGGTTTTTGACACTTCTAACCCCTAACGTTCCTGGCCTTTGATTTCCTTGGTTTCCGAATGAACCTTGGGGTTTCCGAATCATTGCCGAATGGTTTCCGAATGGTTTCCTTGGCTCTTTTTGGGTCGTGCCGGGGTTGCTTGGGCGTGGTTCCTTTTTTTGGGACCGCCCCCCAAAAAACAGAATGAACAAAACGGTATAGTGGTGTTCTTGTTGGTTCCCCTCTACAACCACCAAAAACGGGCACCCCAATTTTGACCCATTTCTTCAGGCCGAGATCCCCCGCAACATCATGGCGGGCTTCGCGGTGGCGCTGGCCATGATTCCGGAGCTCGGATCCGCGCTGAAACGAGGTTTCAATGGATGGCCTGTCGAATGGGGAACCCGTTCTTGGATTGCTGAAGCAAAAAGCATAGAACCAACAGGAGACCCGGAAGTGTTTCGATGCCCAGTTTCTGGGCTTGAGCCACTTGAGGCTCCGGGTGTGGGTTTTCTTTCTTTTTTTCAGGGCACCCTTTTTGGCGCTTGGTTTAAAGGGACATATTTTTTTCTCGGGGGGTTCCCCTAGAACAAGGCATTCAGTTGACTGACAACAAGTCAGGGTTTCTTCCGCCGCCATCCGGATCAGGCATAGGCCGTGGCCATGGGCTGTTGGGGTTCTATTTGAGGGTACCCTTCTCAGGCTGGTTTAGAGGGAGACAAAAAGGAGCCCATTTATTTGTCAGCGCAGGCTAACGTGACGTTTCAGAATTCAGGCGCAAGTTGGTCAACGCCCGATGTCCAAAACCAGGCTTTGCGCCTGCTTTTCCTCCCAGAACCACACCCTGACATCTTCTTCCTGGCACCTCAATTCAGGATTTGCCCTTGAACAATCTGAGTTGCCTACTGTGAACATGTCTGCAACATGTCTCGCCACAGAGCAGGCTAACACACCAAAAGGGCACCAGAAGAGGACACTGCTTCTGTTCATGCCGCCTTGTAGCCACTTTATGTTGTTTTGTCAATGTGTGGGCGCGCAAACCCAACACAGGGCCCAACACGGAATGCACGGAAGGGTGCCTTGTTTCTCAATTGTGTCGCAGGAGTCAGTTGCCTTCGCCTTCGTGGTGGGTGTCACACCCATCGCCGGACTTTGGAGCGCAGTGCCGCGGGCTGCCGTGAAAGTTTGTGTTGGGTCAACTGTTTAAACGGGAAATACGAGAGCATGTAAGAATAGGGAAGTCGTCTAAGGTTGTGGTTTGCCATTTGTCCGATTTTTCAATGTTCATCTTGGATCAATCCGGAGGACCGTGCTACTCAGGATTGGTTTCACTTAATGTGAAATTGTTTCGTTTGAGCAGGGGTTCGTCGGATTCACGTGTCTACTTTTGAGGGCACGTTTTTGTTGGGGTGTACAGGGAAACTGACAGCAAATTCACCATGGTGGGGTTCCCCTAATTTCCAAACAAACTTGTATGCTTAGCTGACAACACTACTGGCAGTCTAGTGTTACCTCGGGGTGACACAGGGGCCCAAGTGTCTCCAAAAGCAGGTGGCCAAACCATTTTTCCACGTGCTCCCAGAAAAACAAATCATGTTAGTCCGGGGCTCAGGTGCCAGATGGCTAGTATGGAACCGCATGAGTTGTTTTGCTGTAGCCCATGGACACTACACGCAGAAGTATTTCTCCAAAAGTCTGAATTTTTGTGACTCGTTGAGGCCAACGACATCCAATGTTCAAATCGATTTCTGAGGATGCGTTACAATACACCCATTTGGGTGTTGTTTTTGGAGGCTTGGTACTCGTTCTTGGATGGTAAAGGGAAGCCAAGAGGACAACCGCGATTGCCCGTTTCACCACACCAATATTGGCTATGAGTTTGAACCGTCGGAGCCGTTTGGACTGACATGATTTAGTTGGGGATTGATGTCCACCACACCCATTTGGTGGTTTCTCAAAATGGACCCCTTTTGGGGTCGAAAGGAAATCACCTATTCGCAGGGGTTCGCAATGTGGAGCAACACCCATATACACCGTTTGTTTGTTTGTTTGTTTGTTTGTTGGTTGGTTGGTTGGGTAGATGGTCGGTCGGTTGCCTAGTTGGTCGGTCGGTCGGTCGGTCGGTCGGCTGGTCGGTCGGTCGGGTGGTTGGTTCTTTGGAGCCGATGCGCTGTTTCCTCCAGGTGTGCTTGGGTTTCCTGGCCGCTGCCTTCGGAGGGCGCCCGGGCATCGCGTCCGGGGCTGCGGGGTCCACGGCGGTGGTCATGGCGGCGCTGGTGGATTCACATGGCATCAGCTACCTGCGCCCCGGAGAACGTGGGGGCAGTTTTTCGCCTGACTGAACTGAAATGAAGGACACCGTTTGAGGCTCCCAAAGAGTTGAACAAAAACAGAAATGCAGGGAGTGATGTTAATTAGGGGAAAAGCCTGAAGCTGCCTGACAGAGAAGGACGCCATTCAAAACAGAAATTCGACATGCAGGGAGTGATATTAGGGGAAATGCATGAATCAGAGAGCCCGTTGGTTGTTTGGAGCCTGGTGGTTTGGATTTGAACTCGTTACTGTGGAGGGTCAATGCGAAACTACCCACCACTAAGCCATCGGGCTGCAAAGCCCCAATTAGGGGTAAGGTGAATGCCACCTGACTCAAATGACTCTTGGCAACGCTTAGCACTCAACTCAGTGCGACCCTCGACAAGGTGTCCTTTTGGTTTCACGAGCAAGCCCACCACAAACCGTTCAACAAAAAACAACACACACACACACACGAGGGATGGACGGAGTTGTTTGTGGAGGGCCATGTCTTTTTTGGGATGTTGGGAGGGCACATGAGCGGTGAAGACTTGAAAGCAGAGCGATGGCGAATTATGGAACACTCCCCTGCAAAGCCCAAGTGAGCCCATTTCCCACGGGGTGATTCCGAAATAAGAAGGATTTGGTTTTGGCCGGGAAGCAATTCACCCAGAAGCTAGTGATTCGTTCCCTCTTCGTTTCCTTTTCCCCGGAGAGAGATGGGATACCCTCCCAGCAAAGATGCGAGAGGAGAATGCACGTTGTTGGTGGGAGGGTACACGGGCGGAAAAATGGCCAAGATCGGTGCGATGGAGCCATTGTTGGACTTCGGATGGAACATATTGACCTGGTACGCGTACTTGACAGTTTTGTTGTCCGGTGTTTGCAAGCATTTGACATCTGGGCTTGTTGCAACAAGAGCATGGCATTGCATCAAGGCTTGGCATGCCAGACTGGATAAGTACTTTGAATGCTGTAGACTTGGGTTCCTTGAGGTGGTGACGTTCTGTGGGGTTCTCAAACAACTTTGAGCTGTTTCCATTTGGGCAACCTTGGTTCTCTTCTTGCCGAGGAGTGCCGCGGTGATGCTTGCAGGCATAATGCAGATCACGGTAGGCCGGTGAATCGGAAGCTGTGTCAGATGAGCCACAAGGGGAAGGTCATGGTCTTTGGTTCTTGGCCACGGATAGTGCCTAGCAGAGACTGATGGACAAAGTCCATTTCGCACCAGTTGGGATGGATGGTGTAGGAACACTGGTTGCTAAGCCACCGTGCAGAATTGGATTTTGCCCATGCGTAGGCTGCAAGGGATCCCCATGCTGCTCTGGTCAAAGGATGGCGGAATGAATTTCAGTGGAGAACAAACTGAAAGCTGGTTGGGCGTAAATCCCCCATGCAGCTGGTATTATGTTTCAGCTCTCCCAATGAAAACTCGTACGAAGTATGTCCTGACTCCACCTTTCCCCCCCACATATATATATATATATTATATATATATATATATATATATCTAATCATTTGGGCGAACCGAAGTCGCAGGCGTTCTGCGCTGGGGGAAGTTCATCAAGTTGGTGCCGCATCCTGTCATGTTGGGCCGCTCGGCAATGGAAGTGCCGCTTTGGAAAGTACATGGCTGTGTTGTTTTTTGGGGACCCCCGTTTGGTAGGCTTTAAAGGGAAGCCAATGGACAGTCACCAAGCTTTGGGATTCCGAGACAAACCAAACTGAGATTGTCTCAAAATGATGGACCCCCCTCCAAAAAAAGGTTTCGTTTTTTTTAGAACAACCTGAAATAGGGTACCCAACTCTGGCCTGCTGTGTCAAACTCGTGCGGGGTTGCTGCTTTTGCCCCATTTGCATTCGCGTAAAACCGCCTGACATCACCTGTGTTTGATGTTGTTTTGCTGAGGGTACCCTTGTGGGGCCGGTTTGAAAGACCTTTGGAATTTGTTGTGTGTGTGCGGGGTGTGTGTCCCTGATTCGGGCTTGCAGGTACCCCAAAATTGGTGGTGGTTTTACCAAACAGGGTGCCAACCCCAACAAAACGAGCTCCTTTCCGACTCGCAGGCTTTGTGAACGGCCTGGCCATCGTCATTGCCAACGCGCAGCTCTCCCATTTCTTCGACCCTGCCACTGGCGCACTGCTGGCCGGCGCGAAAGGAGCTAGTCTCAGATCTCAAAAACCTGGGGGTGTTTGGTCTTTTTTGAGGTGAAGGGTAGGCTTTTCAGGTTGGCTTCAAGGGAAACCAAAAGGCAACCATCCTGTTTGGAGATGTTTTTGCCCCGTATTCCGACACATTGACATGCCCATATCAAGGATGCTACTCAGACCAGCAAACTGGAAGTGCCCAGATTCCTTTGCGAATATAAGTTATTCTTGTAAACGCAGCTGTGCACTTTGTTTGCTGGTGGCAGGGCAAGCAAAAAACAAGAACCAGGACTGACCGAACAATCAGGATGAGACACGAACCGGCAAAACCTCACTAGCTGCCTTTCTTTGTGCGTTTAGCTGCCATTTATGGAAACCAAATTGTTTGAGATTCCTAGCTGCCTTCACGGTGCAATTGAACTCTGCGTTGCCTTAGTGTACACATATAAACATACAAAATCTATTACTACATGTGGTATTAGATTTGTTTTTATTTGTCCCTGAGGTGCCTCGATGTTGGGATTGACTGCGTTATCCATGGCGCTGGTGAAGCTCTTGCCACGGCTGACCACGGCGGTTCCCTCGAGCTTACTCACGGTGGTATCTCACTTGCAGCGAATCGACCCTGAACACTCCCTCAGACCAGGTTTGCAGATTGTGTTTGTTTGTGACTGAGGGGCAGAAGAATCAAAGAACACTTTTCAGTCCGATTCCCCACTTTGTTGACAGGGCAGAGTTTAAAACTTTTGGCTCTGGCGCCTCAGACTAACATGGAAGCTCCAAGAAGGCCTTTGTACATGGCGCCAAGTCTTCCAAAAGGGTCCTGGGAGCTTCCATGTTGGGGGAGGGCAACCTTTTGGTTTCCCCGATGTGGCCTATATTTAGTTAAGAGTTCCTGTGGTGAACCTTTGATTCCCGGGTCCTTTGGGCAAGTAAGGTATTGATCACGGTGCTCACAAAGGTCTTCCACTTGCAGCTCTTCTGCAGTTGGAAAGTCGATACCGCAAGCTGGAGAGAGCGCACGAAACAACATGTGGGACGCGCTAGGACTACACTGGCTCGACAAAAAATGTGTTTTTTGAAGGTCAACACGATTACCACCCTTTCCCCCAGAATGCTTCAGGAAGAGAGACCTGCGGGGATGTTGCCGGCCAAGTTTGCACCCGGGAAGCTTTTACTGAAAGATCCACGACTGAGCCGACAGTGCCTTTTCCACAGCCGAAAAGCATGAACTTTCGTTTGACTGAAGCAATTTATCGCTTTGCAGAGGATTCCCAAAGATATCACAGAAATTGGCCAGAAAACCCCATTTTCCACACATGTTCTGCAGGAAGGCCACAAAGGAGCAATGAGAGTGAAATAGTTGGGACTTGTGTCACAGGGTCCCGGAGGCTTCCTTTTTGGTTTCACTTACGCTCAAAGAGCACACCTAAAGTGAACCCAGTTCAAGTAGGGGACCCTTGCAGTGGATGGCTGGTTTTCCTTTGGATTCTCATTATCCTCCAACAATGGAAGCTGACGAGCGGAGTGTTTTGGAAGATGAAAGCAGTCTTTTCGGGCAAGCCCAGAAGATTGTTGGACAGAGTGTAGGTCCCAAAAAGCTAATCTTTTGAGCAGGTGAGTGAGATGTGACACTGCGGTCACATTAGAGAGTCCGGATGTTGAGCATGTGTATCCCTTTTGTCCCGTTAAGGGCTTGAGCGTGTGTATGGGCGGGTCAATTGAACATGTGTATCCCAAGTGGCTTGGGGCTGTCCCAAAGCCGGCAAGCCCAGCCCGGCAAAACCTGCGGCATGTCCTTCGCGGCCTTGGAGCAACAACTGTCAGTCTCCTTTGGAGTTGGTACCCCTGTTTTCTGGGAAACCGACAGGAAAACTGAAGCTCATGTTGCGTCCACCCTCAAAAAGACGAGCCACTTGTATGAGGCCGGCCCAAACACTCAGCGATATCGCCGGGGCGGAGACCTTTCGCGGGGGCCTCTCGGAGGCACAGGTGCGGTGTGTGATATATATATATATATAGTCGATACCCCGTTTTGGGGCGGTTTGAAAGGAAACCAGGCTTGGGGGGGTCGCCAGTTTTGAGAAACAGCCAGGGTTTTGGGAATCTTTCTGACTGGTTCCAAAAAGGAGGATCAAAAGCCATCACTCGCCAACTGTTGTTCCCCATGTCCAAAACCACAAGTGCTATCCGAAAGCGGATAGTTGTTGGGGAGTGGAGGAAAATGGGTGTGGGTCAAAAATAGGGTAACCTCAAAATGGGTTGCCCTGGTAAACAGAAACAAACACTAAAACCTGCGGTCCCCTGATGGTTTAATTTTGACCCGTACCCAAATGACATTTGTTGCTCCCTGTTTTGACAAATCCAAGGCGCAAGAAACATTGGGCTGCTCGCGAGATGTTGGATACAGGGTTGAGCTATTTCGGGGGTAGGAACATGGGGTCTCCCGCTACTGGAGGATCTGCTAATTTGCCATGTCTTTTTATGGAATTCGCATACTTGACCGTGGCTCACATGTGGTTCATCCAGGCAGTGGGCTGTCAAAGCTAGGGAGTCTTGCAAATTCGGCGCTTGAAAGCCATCCCAAAGCGGGTTCGTGGTGCTGATATGTCCCCATGTCAGCAGCGTAGCTTCAGCTGCACAAAGACCGGGACCAGGTGCCGAGAACACTGCCATGGACGCCCCAAGAGACGTCAAACACACAAGCAGAAAAGTAATCACAACAAAAACAATAGCACAAACACACAAACACATGACAACACTCTCTCTCTTTCAACAGCTGTAAGAGCAACATGACCCCAGCTCGACCGGTTTGCTTACTCAAGAGCTGTCAAGGCTAGCAATCATTAGGACCATCAGCACCATAGGACTTGTGAACCAGGGCGCACATTTGTTTCCGAATCTGGCTATGATTGTGCTGAACACCGGGATAACCCTTAAACCTGATTGACGTAAAACCGCTTGGTATCTACCACATTGCCCCGCAAGACAGTGTAAGCCCATGTTCGCCACACTTACATTGCCTCCTAGTTGTTTGCCATTTAATTCTAACATATTCTAACTTGTTGTCTTGTCGTGTTCCTTCATTTGGCTATTTTCCCTTCCAACCAAGTGATCACTTGTTGCATCTCTCTCTATCCGAGGCCTGTCGGTGCTGCCACACTTCGGCCTGGCGCAAGTGCCCTGGGGCTCTTGGCAGACCTGGCGCGTCCTGCTGCCCTACAGCGCCACTATGGCCGCCGTAGGTGCCCTGGAGCGGACGGGCCGTTTGCAACGAGATCTTTCAGGAACTTGTGTGATTCTGTGTGTGTGTGTGGGTGTGTGTGTGTGAGTGTGAGTGTGCGTGTGCGTGTGCCAGGCGTGCGCGCGCGCGCTGTGTTTGTGTTTGTGCGTGTGCGTTTTTAGGGGACCCCCCGAAAGTGGTGGTTTTCCATTTGGTGTTCCTTTAAATCCATTAAAGAGGGGGAACCCTTAAAAAAAGGCCGAAGACATGTCGTATTTTGGTGGCTTTCAACATCATGGCAATTCAAGGTGAGCTTACTTTTGGGGAGATGACAAGGGGAATCTACCGAATGGTTTCACAACTTTTCGTGTGGTGCAGCCCCCGGAACCGACAGCAGAGTCCATTCTGCTTGTGGCGTTTGGTTAGGCACCCCCTGCATTGACCGTCGGCAGGTGCTCAAGTGCCTTGGACGTCTTTTTGATATTTTGGTTTGGAGGGACACCCAAAGGAAATCCACAATTTGCCTGGATGCCCTGCTTTGGCACATATGTGAACTTGACAAGTTTTGCCAGGCTCTTGGCATGTGTTTCCCGTTTGCAGCTCTTCCCACAAGAGTCGAACAGTACTTTGCAAAATTGGAGTGGTGTTAAGTGGGCAAGCTTTGAGACGGGTTTAATGACTTGATGATTGATTCCCGCATTGAACGGAGCAAACAAACCCCTGTTTGGCTGACGCACCAGTTCAGCGCAGGTTGTTCAGACGCTCCAAAGGCTAGGAGGTGATGAAATGGTTGGCCATGGATGTAGTGGAACATGGTAGAAACAGTAGGTAAGCGTAAGTAAAAGAACTCGCACCACGACGGTGCGTTTCTCGCTTGCATTGTTTGCTGCAAGCAATGGGGACACCTATTCCACTTTGACTGGGGTTAGGCTGCATTCTTTGTCGCGAAACACGCGTTTTGTTGCGGGGCCGCGGGAGTATTGGCACAGGCAAAGACAGGTTGTGTGTCCTGAAGCTGGACAGCAACGACTTGTTTTCAATGTGAACTAGTCACAGGTCGACAGTCCATTTGGGAGCGACATCTCAGCACAGCTTCCCAGTTTTTTGCAGCCGGGTGTGTGTTCCCATGTCCTTTTTCGCAGGCCGGAGTTTCTCAGCATCCCTTTCAATTGCTATGTCAAAAGAGTCCAATTCGGAAACCACTTGGAACCCGACCATTCCAGAGGATCGATCATCGAGTCACTCTCAAGGCCTCATTGAATCGCTGCTCACGCTGCAGCTGGTGGATGGTTTGATGGATGATGGGAAACGAGGAGACACCCGCAAGGACGGAGTCGCTGCCAAAGTGGTGTGACTTCTCTTGAGTTGGTACTGGTTTCGGTTGGTTTGAATATCACGATTTCAAACGGGTTGTAGCCCAGTTCGTTCCAAGTCGGGGCTATAAGCCCATCAAAGGAAACCAAACCCAGCAAACCAGGCCCCTTTTTAAAGTATCCCAACTGTTTCTTTGTTGCAAAACAGCTATCCCAATCTTAAAAGCTCATCAAGCCTTGAGCTTGCCATGCAGAAACCTTGGCTCAGAGAACCGGCTGCCGGAAACTGCCGGTGACGGAAAGCCACCGGTCGCTTTGCAAATGGTCAAAATCGATAGAAGCAACGAACATGGGCGGTTGAAGTGTGGTTTCCCTTTAGATCGAAGTGTGGTTTCTCTTTAGATCCCTTTAGAATTCGGTTTCCCATGCAGACCCATTGGAGGAGTGTATTGGCCAGGGCCTTGGCAATATTGCCAGTGGCCTCACCGGCGGCATGGGCGGATGTGCCATGATTGGCCAGACCCAGGCAGAGCCCGGTCAGTGGATTCCAGCATGCAAGTGGCTTGCCCACCTGAGCCACACTCAAGACCCGAGATGAAGGTTCAGGGAGAATCCCAACCGTAAATCGGTGCAGCCACTTTTTGTTCTTCTTATTTCCCTTGGTCTTCTATGTCCCTTTGTAATTCTCTTGTTTTCCCTTGTATTTTCCTTGTACTTTTCTTGCCTTGGTTTCCCTTGTATTTCCCTTGGTTTCCCTTGTATTTCCCCTGTATTTCCCTTGGTTGTCTTTTTTGTCCCCTTGCATTTCCCTGCTTGTGTTTCCTTGGCTCAGAGGTGAACATCCAGGCGGGCGCCCGTGGCCGCCTGGCGGGTATCTCCATGGCGCTGCTGCTGGGCCTGGGCATCGTGGCGGCGGCCCCGGCGCCTCTCGGCACGGGGGTTGGACACGGGGAACAACAGGCGGGTGATGGGTCTTCTAATCCTCCTTTTCGATCCCAAGATTCCCCAAACCCCGTTTCTCAAAACAGGCGACCCCCCGAAAGGTTGTTTCCTTGGAAACCACCCCAAACAAGGGGTATCGACTCCAACAAAAATATATCACACACAGCACCGGTGCCAGAAGGCCCCGGCGATATCGCTGAGTGTTTGGGCTGGCCTCAAAGTGGGTGGCTCGTCGATTTTTGGAGGGACCCCCCAAAATCCTAAGATCCGAATCTTTCTAGAAAACCACCAAAAACCCTTAGGAAATTTCTAGAAAACCACCAAAAACCCTTGGGAATTTGGCGGGTGTTTGGAAAAAAAACGATGGCTGAAAAGAATGGGGAATCAACCGTATATAGAGAGATGGCGAGGGGGCGGCGGGTGGCGTTGGGCTGGGATGTCCATTTTTTTTGGACCCAACAATGATCCAAACAAAATGGGGGTGCAGCAAGATTCCAGAATTTGAGGGTTGATCAAAATGCAAGAATTTGGGGAGGTTGGTCAAAATTCCGAAATTCCTGGCCTCAAAATGGGTCACTTGTCACGTTTCGCGCCGAGTGTCGTTTGTTTTTGGTGGTTTCCCTAGTGGTCACCCCATGTAAAGGACCTTTTGATCAACCCCCAAATCCAGGTAGACTTGAACCCAGATACGGTTGATTTCCCCAAAGTGCACTCGATTCCTGGGTTGAGGTTTAATAGGTCCAAAAATGGAACGGCCCCGGTGTTTGCGAGTGCAAAAGCAAAGGGACACCGAAGCCCAGAGGGCGCCCCTCACTTCCCGGGTTCCTGCTGCAGGTTTAGGCTGTGGCTGGAGGTGTTGCTTTCTGGTCTCAGTCTTGGGCTGGTTTCGGATCGGCCTTGAACCCGAGGCCCTGGGTCCGAGTGAGCTTGGGTGTGATGCTGGGGATGCGGATAAAAAAAACACGGGAAAGAAAAGAGCCCTATGAAAAAACTCGGCCCTGGGAAAAAAAGAAACACCTCTGCAGAGTTTAATGCTCATGTCTTGAGTCTTGGGTACCCAAAAAGCGGCAGAGTAAGGCCCATTTGCACCAGAACTGCTTTGTTCACCCAGGGAGAAAAGTCCTATACTTCCTGTTTTCTTGGATTGGGTGTGGGGCGGTTTTTATTTGTTCCCTTCTGAACCAGACTTGTCCGAAGATCCGGGCCGCGCTAGAATCCGCACCCACTAAGTTCAACTGGGGGGGTTTCAGAGACTTGCCATGGCTTCATTTGAAGTTTAAGTGGTTGGACCCCTGGACATCAGAATTCGGTGGGGATTTATGTCCACGACTTTTGTGGGCTCCCTCGAAAAGACACATCCAGAAAGACTCATCGGGTTTCGAATTACACACACACACACGTACAATCATGCAACCATACAGCAAAAGCCAAACAAACAAACAATGAAGCCAACAAGCAAACAAACAAACCACACACAAGCAGCTTGACAAAACAGACCCAAACCATTCAGAGAGCATCAACAAAAACGATCCAGGGAGGAGTTGAACCTCCATGATTTGTGCTCTTGCCTCAGCGGCAAAGAAGACCACGCCCCACCCATTGAGCAACTGGATCCTTATGATTAAATGCCCGAAAAAGCAAAACAAAAAACTTGCTTCCATCTTGGCCCGTGACCACCAAAGAAGAAGGGGAATCTTGGGAAAAACGCGCAGCTTCTTGATTTGTGTGTTGTTGTTTTTTTTTTTTTTTTTTTTTTGCATGTGTGTGTGTGTGTGTGTGTGTGTGTGTGTGTGTGTGTGTGTGTGTGTGTGTGTGTGTGTGTGTGTGTGTGTGTGTGTGTGTGTGTGTGTGTGTGTGTGTGTGTGTGTGTGTGTGTGTGTGTGTGTGTGTGTGTGTGTGTGTGTGTGTGTGTGTGTGTGTGTGTGTGTGTGTGTGTGTGTGTGTGTGTGTGTGTGTGTGTGTGTGTGTGTGTGTGTGTGTGTGTGTGTGTGTGTGTGTGTGTGTGTGTGTGTGTGTGTGTGTGTGTGTGTGTGTGTGTGTGTGTGTGTGTGTGTGTGTGTGTGTGTGTGTGTGTGTGTGTGTGTGTGTGTGTGTGTGTGTGTGTGTGTGTGTGTGTGTGTGTGTGTGTGTGCGTGCGTGCGTGCGTGCGTGCGTGCGTGCGTGCGTGCGTGCGTGCGTGCGTGCGTGCGTGCGTGCGTGCGTGCGTGCGTGCGTGCGTGCGTGTGTGTGTGTGTGTGTGTGTGTGTGTGTGTGCGGTGATCTTGTGATCTTGTGATCTTGTCCTTGCTTCCGAACAATCGACCAAGGCTCGGCCAAGTGCCAGTCGCGGCGTTGGTGGGCATCATGCTCCTTTGATTGAGACAAAGACACCGTCCAAAGAAAGTAAGACATGATTGTTGTTTTGTGTCGTTGTATTCAGTTTTGATTCCTGTTGGTTTTGTTTGTTTGGTTGCTTGTGTCGTTGTGTTTGTTACTATTATATTTATTTTGTGTGTGTGTGTTGTGTTGTTGCGTTTGTGTTTGTTTTGTTTGGTTGGATGGTTGTTTGCTTGTTCGTGTCCAGCAAGTGTTGGTGTATCCAAGACTTGGAGCCCAGCGACAAGTTCGAGGTTGCATACAGGCTCTTACTGGGCTCGGCAAGAGTGGAGAGCGGGGTTTGCGGGGAATGCAGGGAATCAGGGTGCCCTTAATTGGTGGTTTGGCTTTTTGGCTTGGAGATTTGACCCCTGGTTCTTGAGGAATGGGAACCACCCAACCTCCACACCTCCAAGCCACAAATTCAAACCACCGGGTACCAATTAGAGGGAGCTGATGCTTTGTGGCTCAGGTTTGTTGTTTGCGAGTCGACCTTCGCATGGTCCAGCCTGCGGCTCATGCGCTGCTTGGCCTACAATTGACAAGTTCAATGGCCTTGAAGCGGCTACAAGATCTCGGAAATTCCTTTCTAGCTTGACGCGCATCCAGTTTTGACGGAATCCATGGCTCTGAATCAACCAGATCCCAGGTTAACATACCATGAGAGACTGAGACTCGCCAACTGCCCATGGGTTTCATGATGCATTGTTACATTGAGGTCCTTGGGCAATTTGAAGTTTCGAATTGTGCAACCTATCAGTCGCATGCGAGTGGCATGGCGTATCAAGCATGTTGCAGCTAAGGCAAGATACCCAGATCAGATGCAGCGACTGTAGTTATCGTCTCTCTCGCAACTTGTCTGCAACACATACACTTTGGCCGGTGAGGAGTCGCGCAAGTATCTCATCGTGCTGTGTTTGTTGTGGAATTGATTTGAGGTTCGGTCAACATTACCATCAGCCTGCTATGGCCAGATTTGAGGTATATGGGCGACTCACTAAATTTCCCCACAAAAGCCGGGGGCTGTAGGTGAAACAAGCACGCAATTTTGACCATGGCTCATTTGGAAGTTTTTGCTTGTGCACTTCACACGGCCAGAGTCCACGGCGAAGTCAGATAGGGCAACGCGCGGTAAAAATTGCGACCAGTGATGCCCTTTTCACTCTCTGGGGCTGAGGGTGTCCTTGTCAAATCTCCGATGCGTAGGGCTTCCCCTTCCTTTCCCGCGGCTGTGAAGCCGAGGTCACGGTGTGGCAAGACCTGGCGGACGGCGTGGTTGTGGGCACTATTGTGTCAGCCCTGTGTTTCTGCTGGAAGCAAAGCACGAATCTTTGGGTAGAGACCAGCGCCGCTCGGAGTCTGAGACAGGGCAAACTGTTCCCCGATTTCTCGTGATGCGGGCTGCTTGAAATGGTTGCCACTCGCAAATTCAGGCCCTGCATGTTGTACCCCATGTCGGAGACTTGTTTGAGAAACGCCCAGGTCCTAGAGTTGGCAGCTCATGAGAAGCCTTTCGGGGGGTTTTCAGCAGCGCTTCCCCCAAAAAGGGCTTGTCTTTCTGTAGGACCCCTGGTTTTCACATGGTTTTGCAAGACCACGAAAGAGGGACTCCAAACAAAGACACACCCAAACGGACACCTCTGCTGCTTTCTTTGGGCGCTGTCATTATTAAAGAATCCCAGTGCCGCACGATCCATGGTTGCGGGACGATTTTTGTGGATTCACATGGATTGACTTTATCTAAACCCGAGGAGGGTTATAGTGGCTTCATCAAGACCTACAAGTTGCACGGCTTGCTCTTCTTCGGTTCAACGCAGTCGTTTGCCGTGCCTGGGTTGCATTGCGCGGCGCCTTGCAGCTTGACGTATGGAGACATACATACATAATAGTGTAGATATATAATATTATGTTATGTTGTTATATCATGTATTGTATTGTATTATGTTATACTGTATTATATGTTATGTGACGTTATGTTATATATATACACGATCAACACAGCCACCTTAAAGACATGTGGTTGTTCGAAAAGGGGATGCGAGGATTTTCGTGTCTGGTCGTGTTTGGACACAACATGCACATTCAACGGACCTGTGGGGTGTACCCGAAGGGACTATGGTTTGCGTGGCGCCAGTGGACACGCCATGGGCCTGTGGCATTGCACCAAGGATTTGTTCCGAATTCAGGAGGAGCCGGGGTTGCCATTGCGGCCTAGTGACTAGTCAGGGCCCAGAAAGGATGAGCCATAGTCCTCCGGCTCCCCTGATGGCTTTTGAAGTGGAACAATTACTGGCAGAGTTTATAGGGACAAGGGGGAACGAGCTCGATGTTTCCCACAAAAGCTGGGGTGCTCGCCTTTGAAATTTGGGGGAACCTTGGTATCTTTGAGCGTGACAATAGCAGTGCCAGGACCCGCAAGAGGTCGTCTTGGACTTTGCCGCGAGTCGGGTGTTGGACCACTCAGCGCTGGAAGCCATCAATAACGTGGCGGCCAAGTACGGCCTGGGAGCACAGACAGAAGGGCCGTCAAGAGAAAACTGTAAAAATAAAACAATAACAGTTATATCAGCTATATCATGGAACCAGCTATAGTATGTCATAGGAATCATGTAATCAATAGTATCATGGATCCAAAACTGTCATAGGAATCATGGAACCAGCTATAATATCAAAAGTGGACTAGAGCAATGATGGGATGAGTGTCACACAGTCAGACAGCGATGCTGTCCAATAGACTCGCGGCTGAGCGAGCAGAAGCCTGGCTGCGTGAGGCGTGTTTGGCTTGGTGCCTAATGACCCAGAATTTAGATGTGTCCAAAAGGTTGCTGGGGATTGATGTGTTTGTCCAATTGTTCCAGACGCAGGTGAACTTACTTCCTGTTTTCCGAGCTGCCATGCAGTGGCATTCGGCGTTCGCCACAGCCCACAAAGGGCAGTGAGACTGTGGATTTGTTTTGCCTTGCATGTGTCTGGTCGGGATGGCGCCACGGTTTTGAAAGGACGGCTCCAATATCTTTGGTGGGATATGATTTAGAAGGAACCTGTGAGATCTGTGAGGTTTAGGATGAGATACTCGAGACCCCCCTATTCAATCAAGATCTCTGCTGCCTGGCTTGCCAATGAGCCTGTGCGAGAGCCGTTCGAATGGCGAATGTGTCCATTGAGACACAGTGATATGGTTTTTGAGGTTGCCGGTTTGAAGAGGGTCTGAAGGATACATTTGAGCCAGTGATAAAATTGTGTGTTTTTTTGGGGAAGGAGCTTTTGGTCGGTGTGGTAGGGAAAGCAAAGCAGACCAAGCTTTCCACCTGGCCCCTTTTTGGGCTTGGTTTGAAGGGGGAAACCCATGAAACACCGCCCTTTCTGTCCATTCTTCCGACTTTGACACGGGGAGACCCGAGAAATCTCGGCCTTTACCGCTTTTGGGTGGGTTCAAACCCAAAATTTCATGCCTGTTTATTCAACGAGCAGCCCTAGGGACCAGGATTCGTGAGAAAGGCCCAGAGCTTTTGGGGACCAAGGTGAGCTGGGCAAAACCTTGCATTTGGTGCATTTGTCCTCCGACTGTGCGGGCCTGCTGGAGAGATTAAACTCCGGACTCTTAGTTGCAAGAAGCGCAACAACATCTGGCAAGGCTCGCGATGGTTTCAAAGGGCCCTCAAAATGGGTTGCTTTCAAAGGGCCTGGGTTCTTCATTGGAGGGCCCGGGGGCCTGCATTGTAGGCTTCATGAGGTCGAAAAGAACTCAGATCTCAGATTTCCAGGTCTTTTCTCAGGACTGAACAGGAACAAGGAAATCCCAGAGTTGGGCCAAGGTTTTTCTGTGTGAATTCTGCTGCACCCGCAAGGGTGGACATTGTGGACTGGGAGTTATATCCACCAACCATTGTTGCAGTTCCTCCAGCCATCAAAATTCGGAGCCATGCGGATGTGTCTTTGTTTGAGGACGTGTTTTTTCCTTTTTTTTTCTTCTTTTTCTCTGGTGGTGTCAAAAGAAAGCAAAAGGCATACCTGCATTTTTGTTGGTGCCTTATTTTATGATGCGTCGACGTATTCATGTGCAAGCTGCCAGACAAAGGTTGTTTTTGTTTTTGTTTTGCAGCACGCGAGGCACGCGGAGAAAGACATAGACCACTTTCAAGATGAGCTCATCATGCTTACTTTGTGCATCCCAGTTGCTGGTGTCCTCCATGTTATTTCCCTCTCAGGAACTATGCCTCCCTACGAGATCATTGAGGTCGATGAAGCCACGGACCCTATCTATGAGGTCGCGGAGGAGGGTACACATCTCGATTTGTTTGTTCATGTAGCTGCTCATGTCGCAGGTAGCATGCATTCAGGTATCCCCTAGTTGGTGGTTTGGATTAACCACCAGTGAGGGGGAAGCTGACTCCTTTTTTGACCCACGCTGTTGGATGTTGCAAGCATGTCACCAGGTATACGCAATAGTACCAATTCGCACAACCTCAGTTGTGTGCCAGATGTGATGGTAGCACATGACCAGTCCGCCTACAGAGTGTTTGTTCACTGAATGCATGGGAGGAGAGCAGATACTACCGAGACCTGAAAGCCCCGGACGCGCCAAAGCGGAAGGACTGCATACAAGTGCATGATCAGTATGTGTTTTGCTTGAGATGACTTGGGATCTCAGTTGCTATTATTTCACAATTGAATTTGCACTAATGAAGTAGAATCTAAGCATTTGTTTTAGTTGGGCCAAAGAGGAGGTGATGTGTTGTCCTCCCAGATCAAACGCTGCAGCATACAGAAAAAGCACAGAACACACGGCTGGATCAGCCAACAACCTGATTGAAGCCAGGACGGCCAAGCAGACGTGTCTTTAGACGAGGAAGACGAGGATTTCGATGACACTGAAGACCCGGAAGCCTGGGAGGACGACCTGCGCTAATGCCGAAAACGGAATGGGCCAAGCCATGCCCATGCAGCTTTGGCTGTAGAGAAAGGAAGCAACAAAATGGGAAAGTCCAGCCAGTGTTCCTCAAAGTGAATCATTTGTTTGGACGGCTTCTCAAAATATTCTCAGGGCACGGGCTTCCCTTACCATTTCAGTGTCACTTTTATGAACCTGGGACCGGCTGAAGGTTGAGTGGGACGATACAACTTGACCATGTTGCTGCAAATCTTCAAATCCAGCTTGGACTTTGAAGCCAGCCCTTTGTGGCAGGTCCCTTTAGGTGGACACAGCATTCGGGCTTGGAATTCGCCCGAGGATGTGCTGGTCATTCCTCTCTCAAACGGAGAAGTCGTGTCCATGTGCGTGCAACGTGAGAGAGAGAGAGAATGTGTGCGTAATGTGTGCACAAATTCCGCCGGATCAAGCCGAAGAGTGCTACTTTTAGCAAGCACACCTGCATTGCTGAGAGCCAGATGCATCTTTGCAATCCATGACACTTTCAGAGTTTGCTACTCTTTGAGGGCTACCATGCTCGAACACGCGGGTTCAACAGTTGTGAGTTCTGGTGCGAAGGCCGCTTGCTTAAAAAAACAATGCAATGCGCCTTGTCAATGCGCGGTTTATTTTGTGACACTGTTCATGTTTGGTTTAGGCGTTTGTTTCCTTGGTTCAAAGGGAAGCCCGAAGGAAAACCAAAAGGAAGACACGATGCCCACTTGTTTCTTTCAGCATGTCCCGGATGTTGCCGGCTAATCACCAATGAGCGCTGATGTCGTGCGACGAGAGGCTGGTGGTGGGCAGGTTTCGATTTGCCACTGGGCATCAGTCATGTGCGGTCAAAATTACCAGTAGTTCATGGTGCATTTCGGAGGGGCATGGGGGACTCGCTCTAAATGTTATGTTTTGTTTTTGAACCAAGTAGTTTTAAGCTTTGACTTTGGCTCTTCTATTGGGGCCCCTAAACGGGTTGTAATCAACGTGGTCCCGCTTGCACCAAAGGTTAATGCTGTGAGTAGCATGTGTTAGGAATGTGCAAGTGAACACTCATATGAGCAACAGTCGAGACTCACTGTCATCTACTGGGGAACAACACCATTCATTCACCAAGTGTCCGCACTAAATATCAACTGTGGCTCATACTCGTATGTACACATGTTTGGCTCGTGCAACTCATAAGCTGAAGCTGCAAAGGGACCGATTCCGGCACTTGCGCACTTTCAGGTTGTAGCATTTTGAGGCCTGGCAAGGGCTTGACACTCCGAATGCAGAAGACAAACCACGCATCTTCATTGTGTCCTGCCTGGCTAGCATTTGAGGGTAGAAGGATAACACATGAAGTGATTCTTTTCACCCAGCAGACTTCGCCAACTAGCTCTCTGAGAGATTCGGTTCCCCAGAATTCACCATTCACATGGCGACGACTTTGTGACCGGGCATGTCCTCTGGTGTTTTCTGTGTATAGATTGGCCATGGCGAAGAAGACCAAGACTGGAAAGAAAGTGAAAAAGCTCGCCACGGAGAAGCGACGGGTGCGAGGAAAAGGCGGTCGCTCCAAGAATGCATACCTCTACTTTTCCACGGCCAAGCGGAAGGAGGTTCTCCGGGCAACAGGCATCGAAGATGTGCCGGACAACTTTGCGGAAGCTGCCAAGGCTGGGTCAAACTTCAATCCTAGATTCCAGCAACCCCTCCAACAACTGCTTTTCGGACAGCACTTGCGGTTTTGGAAATGGGGAAAAGCACTTGTTGCGGGGGTTCTGGTTGAGGTTTGTTCATGCTGCCTGAGGCTCTGTCTGCAGCCTGGGCCAAATTGTCCAGCAGTCAGCGCCGGCCCTATGAAACCTGTGCTGCGCTGGATCGGTGTCGTCGAGACATCGAGCATTTACGAGGCAGTAAGCTCAAGGACTGTGCTCACAACTGCCCAAAGCCGACTTAGTCTTTGGAGTTCTGGGTCCTTTGGGCAACTGAGTCATGATGAAGACAACCGATTCGGCACGTTTGTTTTGTTCAATTTCCCAGCCTCACTGCATTTTAGGGAGCCGCTCAGCTGGATAGCTGGATGCGCAGGACCACTCCAATCTGCAGGCGGTGCATTCTGCAGTGGAGGCCTTGGCAAAAGCTGCCGCATCGGCAGGCGCTGCCTCTGCGGCCGTGGGCCTGGTGGAGGCATTGGAGGCCCGGTTGTGCACTACCATGTGGGTGAAGGCCCCCCCCCCAAAAAAAAAGGTTTACTGTGGTGTCACAGTGGTGTCCCTTTGAAATCAACCCAAAGAAGGGTACCCTCAAAAAAGACAGGCCGTGACGGACCCATATTTCCGGTTTTCTCTCGGTCTGCACCAAGCTTTGTAGGCTTAAATTGACAAGTGACAAGTTGTCTCTTTTGTTGGATGGGCTCTCAGGACAATGTTCCTTTCATGCAACCCCGGGTAAGAGAGTAACATGTTCTCATGGTTTCGCCTGGCTTCTCCTTGTTCCCAAGAAGCCTGCAACATATGTTTTGAGCATGCCCTGGACACCCTATCAAAGGAATCTTCATCAAAAAACGGGTGGCTTATCTCAAAAAGTTCGAGGGTTCTTGCATTGATTTTGTTTGGTCTACTTTTTTGTTCTTGGTTTTCCTCTTTCAAACTCTAAGATGGGTGTGTGTTTTGTGAGTGTACCCTTTTCAGGTGGTTCCAAACATGGAATTTACCAAAAGCACCCAACCTCAAAAACTGGAAACCGCCAGCAACCCCACCATTTCTCTAGGGGTTGATTCCCCTGGGTTTTTGATGGTTTGCTGAAACGAAGGATCCCTGGAAGGTACCCTTAGGATTTCGTCTTGGGTTCCATCGCACCCCGTCGCGCTTTTTTCGCGGCCCCTCGGAGCCTCGGAGGCCCTGGACGCGCGTCTCACCAACGGCGCCCGCGCGGCCTGCGCGGTGCGCGGGGGCGCGGCCTCCGCCGAGGCCAAGGCCGCGGGCAACGGCTTCGGCGCGCAGCTCGGAGGCCGCCTCGCGGCGCTGCTGCGGAAGTGGGCCATGGCGCCGCAGTCGCAGGCGTCGAAGTGGCCCCTTAAAGGTTTTGGGCTGATGGCTCCATGTTGAGTTTGAGGTCTTTTCAACGTTGCTTTTGGGGTGTTTTGGTTTGTCCAGATTTGTTTCAAACGAAACTGACATAACTGGGTGCCGTAAAGGGGGCCCCCATCTCGAGCTCTCACACTGACTTTGCCCCCTTCCAGCCATTTACAGTTTAGATCAAAATATGTGTTTTTTCCAGGGAGCGGGGGGGGTGTAACGCCCACTAGGGGGAAAAGAAGCCCCTTCACATCATCCCGGGTGTCTTACGCAAATCCCAGAGGCGAGGCCTCACAAGAAGGCGAAGGTGGAAACGGCCCAAAGATCGACCGCAACCTCAGAGGGCACCTTGGTGCAACAGTTTGCTGTGCAAAATATAATCCCTTCCCACAAACCCAAAGAATACCTTACCTACGATGCTGGTAATTGGCAGCACTGGGAAACATGGCTTAGTGATGCTTGGTACAAACACTTCTTTCCAAAAGAAACAGTTGTTTTTGTTTGTTTGGGAGGGGGGGGTGCGCAACTCCCTCTGGCTGTGAATTTAGTAGGGATCCTAGATGATGTCCAGCAACGTGTTTTCCTCAGGAAAGCAAAAGGGGATGGGTAATCTTCAATGGTTCCAGACACCTAGAGGCATCCCTCAAAAGTTACTTTAACCATGTTTAAGCCGCAATGTAGAGGGCGATTTTGCGGATCGGTTCAGTTCTGTCCAGTTTTGTGGAGTAAAACAGTTGCAGAGGTTGGTTTGGAGTTCAGATTCTGAATCTGCAAGTCGCCTCGCTTCGAGGTGTGAAAGATGAGCTCAACGATGGCATGCGCTCCAAGTTTGTGGGTTTCCTCATGCGCACGGCGGCGCAGAAAGTGGGGCATGCCAGTTTCGAGGTGTGCCGCAAGATCGAGCAGGCGCTCTTCGACCAATACGGCAAAGACCCCAAGGAGTACCGCCGCAGGGCTCGCAGCATCTCGACTCAATAGACAGCAGGCGGTTTGGCCCCAGCGGCAGGTAATGAGGTGCGATGAGACATTGTGTGAAATGGGATGTTACACAGGACAATCACTATCTTGCAGTCAGGCAGGATGGGGTATTCACTTCGCAAACTGTGGGCGTGCTTTGGGGGTTCCTCGATTCACTGGGCTAGAGCGAGCGCATTACGAGGCCTTATACACAACCTGGGCGCCGGAGATGGCAATCTTTTGCGCCAGGCGCGGAACAACTGTGTGGATGGTTTGTGCGCCAAGGGTCGGATGCGAGCCTTTTAGTTGATGGATCATTTTTGTTGCTGGAGTCACTAGCCCGCATTCTACCAGTATCAAAGCCCTTCTTCAAGAAGTGCCAGAAATCGTCAACATACTGTGGATGGCCAAAATCTTGCGCCACCTAAGAAACCCTGGAATCATGGTTTTCCCGAAAATACAAAAACACAATGGTCTCAACCATTATTCCATTTCGTGGTGCGAAATGGATTTCGCGTCCATCCACAGCGAGCCCAGACTGACAGGGGCCAGAGTCTCACTCCCCGCGCGCCAGGCCCAAAACGCCGGGGGGGTATGGGTCAAAATGTTTCACCAGGAATCGGACCGCAGGTTTTGGCAACCATGTTTCCACCCAGGGCAACCCATTTTGGGGTTACCCTATCTGTGACCCACACCCATTTCCCTCCCACTCCCCAACAACTGCCCGCTTTTCGGATAGCACTTGTGGTTTTGGACCATGGGGAACAACAGTTGGCAAGTGATGGTCCTTTTGGGAACCAATCATATTTTTGACCCACAGTCGGGGCGGAGGTGCTGGAGGGGGCCTTGCCCGCCGCGCGCCTGGTGCAGCTGGAGGCCGAAGACCTGGCGCCCGAGGAGCTCAAGGCGACTCGATCGACGTGGATCGGCGCGGAGAAATTGGTCTCGAAACGGAAAGAACCGAGAGACGTGGGGAGAGTGATTTTGTGCGTCATTTGTTTTATTCTCTTTTTTTAATTTTTTTTTTTTTTTTTTTTTTTTTTTGTGTGTGTGTGTTGTGTGTTGTGTGTTGTGTGTTTGTGTGTTGTTTGATTGTTTGTTTGTTTGTTTGTGTGTGTGTGTGTGTGTGTGTGTTTGTTTGTGTGTTTGTTTGTTTGCTTGCTTGTTTTTTGTTT